GCGATCATACATACAAGATTGTTTCTTTTCGAGTAAAACTTTGAGAACGAATCAGAATAACGGAAAGGAGAGGTGTTTTTTTTTAAATAAAATTTGCTCTTTTAATGAAACCTAAAGCAACTCAAAATCATGCCAGAGATTATGTTATTATCGAATAAATGTTGATAACGTATCTCGTGTTAGAATACATATATTATGTATGTGGAACGTGTAAATTAATAGGGATGACAGGAGGATATATAGCAGCAAGCTTTCGCTGATGGAAACCAACCGAAAGTATTTACATTGAAGTAAGGCCCTGGGGATACAGAACTTTATGGTGGAAATCCAATCACTCCACGGTTTTAGATCACACAATGCATAAATAGTATTTTGCAATCTCAGCACTTAGGGTAGTGGTTTAAGGCTTAGAAGTGTTATAATAGGTGCTTCATGGGCCCGTCATTCCCCGAATTTGAATAGAATGACCGACTGACGCCATAAAGAGGCAATCATTAAGCCGTGAAGGAGCATATCCAGTTCCTTGAAAAAAAGTGGATGGACGAAGATAAAATGAATCCATCAGGGCGTGATGGCAGTGTTTAATGGCCAAAGTTTGATGGCTCGTTTGCTATTGTGTGGTGGCTATACATCCCACGCTTCATAACATTTCCCATTCGACGGTACCCCCCACAGGGAAGAAAGGAACATTTTCTCTTTCTACTGTGGTTGGAAAAAGATTGTATTGGTTGGGTGGCTTTTGGCACCTTGGGTAATTAAAATGCCTCTTTGATACCAGAATGCATCAGTTGGGCGTTATGTAACTGTTGCTTGGGAAGGTTTATGGCGGTGTTGCTGGCTGGCCGTCAAGGGTTTGAAAGGATTGATAACTTAACCAAATGGATCATCGACAAATTCATAATATACAGAGCTTTGCAATTGAAGCACGCAAGGCAATCGATTGTTTCCTTGGTCTGATAACGTTGTCATATGATTGTGTATTGTTATTACATTTAGGGACGCCTTTGCAGTGTATATGCTCGTCAGCAAATGCATTTTTGTTGTAAAGAGAATTGTTTCCATGTTGGTGTCATTTTCACGTGAGAATCTGTCGAAGATTCAGAGCCAAAATTATATGTTGCAGCTTCGAAGGAAAAGGTTAACGAGTTCAACAAACAAAAAGTTTGATAAACGAGTAAGCTTTGTTCACTCACACCGCTGACGCAATTAAATTGTATAATAATGATGGAAACTTCTGAAAGTATGTTTTAACCTTTTATGAACTTAACGGAAAAGCAACAAAAAAGACAGTTCACTCCACAACAGTCAATACGAGCCCGCATCCGCATTACAAAAAGGTGTGCCATTAACCAGCATCTTCTTAACGGCCTAACCATTTAAAGCTTATTGTTATTCGATATTTTGTCTTCAATGCTTAACCCCATTGTGATGTCACATCGATTTATCACACGTGATCACGTACTATGGGCGCCACATAATGACGAATTAGCTCTTTATTTTTGAATAAAGTTCATCTAAATTAGTGTAATGTGCATGGCCCGGGACGGAGGTTTTCAGTATGTATAGTTAAAACGCAATGCAAGTCGCTTTGAGAATCGGACGAATTCATAAATCCTGGAGATAATTTGTAAACTTTAAGGGAGGTGTGTTAAATATGTGATATTCATTGTAACCCTCGAAACCGTTCCTTTCGTGAAAAATGTGTTTTGGAGGAGATTTCGTTATTTTTGAGAAAAAAAAACGTCTCCGCAGAAGTATGGAATCACGAAGCCTGCTGATTGAAAGGCACGGGCCCGGGGCCGGAGCGTGGACATCCGGTCAATAACCACGTAGGCCTATGCCTGCCTGTTCCCGGGCTGCTCGATCAACATCTACTACTCTGCGAACCTTCCACATTCGAGATACAGTGTATTTTGCTAGTCTCTGAGAGTTGATAAGGATTGAAAATCAACCGTTTCTTTGAATATAGTTTGAAGTATTCAGAGTTTCAGACATGTTTATATTATGAATTCCTCGAGTACAATGTTCACAATGTATTTTTATACACCGCATCGCATGTATCAAGGGATCAATGTAATATCCATCCTACTATTAAATTAATGTTCAAATAGACAATTATCGTTAAGTGGAAAGATTACCATGCGATTAACAGTCGAAGATTCATGTGTTTCAATAATCTTTTCAATTATTTGTTATCATTTATACGTGATAACAAAACCAACCCTGTATGAAACATTATGAATATTCCATGCATAACGCCGAAGGAAGACAGGTCAACATTCGTCTCTTTTTAAAGTTTCAAACTGTCCGGAAAAATTAGATGAACTCTTATACGGGTTTATAACATTGAACTTTCGTTTATCGGCTTATAGGACATAAACAGAACCGGGCGTGTTTATTTTTCATCCTGTATTTAACGCGAATAATAAACACATTGTCCTGGATTTTGTCTTCAGTGACACGTGATATATAAAGCTTGCCGAGTAAGTATCACAATTACATGTTTGTGCTGTGTCAATGTTTCTCATCTACTTTTATTTAACTTTATGTGTGCTAATTGTGACTACAACCATGCAATGGAACTCTTACGTTGGTGTAATAAAATGTATGAAGCATACCGCCAGTAGCACGCTATGGACCGTATCGCCTTTTCAAAGTATTCGGTGTACCAACTCACTCGCTAGACTTTATAAATCCATCATGTGGTTGAGTTGCGACCCCGAATAAATACCCGAACGCCATGCAAATACTCCCAATATCAATTATCCTGCCAAAGAAATGCCCTTGTACCAGACATGCTGGAACCAGCCGCTTTGTCATTTCATCAAATCCGGTATTCGGGTCCTTTCATTCTGGTACTGGTAGCAGTGGTCGGAGTGGGTAGAACGCCTGAGGCGAGGCTAGGTCAGTCGCTAAGGTCATGACCTCTGGGGAGTTCTGAAAAGAATTCAAAAATCCAACTAAGCGATTCTCCTATAGCTGCGGGCTATTGACAGGGGAATAATGAAGAACTTGGAAACCACACAATGAAGGTAAAAACCGAATGGTTGTTGAAAAGCGGCAGTGCAAGTTATAAAAAAAAATTGAAATTTATTCGTAGATCCAGCAAGGAAAAAAAAAACATATTTTTAAATTTAACGAAGGTACTAGAAGAACAACCAGTGAAAAAAACCAAGACTTAACAATATATATCTCGTGCTGCCGTCTGAGGGCGGTTTTAATTTCATCCGTTTCTTCATGATAGTTTTTTCTGTACAATTTTTACCATAATTAAAAGGTTTCCAAGAAACTTTTGAATACTATTATTGCTTCCAAATGATGCAAGTATTTAAAATAATAATGGCCTTTCTTGCATTACTTCTGTATTATACAGTTGTGCTATAGTGGTGGTCTGATTTATAGAGCGCCACCATAGTTTTCTTTTGCTCATTTTGACGGCATGCTTTGTAGCTGATAGACCCTTGTAACCCTGCCCCTCTGATAATAGAGTAGAATAAGTTGCACATTTGAAACAGGAAGAGATATATACCAACAACTCCAATTTCTCATACACCGTTGCTCGAAGTGCAAGATTTCATAACGGAATGAAAATTAGTAAACGACATGCGAGGAAGCGTCGTTTGGAATAAGAGAAAAATAATACAAAATTAAGTCAATAATTGGGATTTTTTTGTAAAGGAAAAATATCAAAATGTTTGCAGGAATGATAGTGAGATCTGGAAGAATTTAGACTGGAAACTATATTTTCAATGGAAAAGGGGAGTTTCACCGTATATAATGAGGAATTTAATTAGCAAAATCACTATCCATTCGATGACGCTAAGCAAAATAATGTAAAAGCTGTGAACTAAATTGACGAGGAAATATGATTGATTCACATGGAATTCAGAAAATGTCACGTCCACACTAGAATTTTCAATTTCAGTTCCTGGTTTAAGCACAGTTTTTTGGTTAACAAACAAGAAACTGGGTTGATTTATTCGGTCTACTGACTACCCTTCATCCAGGCGGCTAACAGAAAAAAACTCCCTATTATTTCCCGGTTTCCTTTATACTCTGAAAAATGGTTTTCGTTTAAATTTGGGTTTTGTGCGTGAGCGTCCATGCGCGATGCGGTGATATGAAAGTGCTGTGAGGCGAAGCCTGGAACAAACAAGCTGTTCCTGCATAGAATGGGTTAGTTTACCACCATCCTGGGTCACGGACGGAGGATGAACCCTGTTCTCACTTGGTTGCGTGCCAACATAATTACGGGATCTAATATTTAACTGTTATGGCATCTCCCAATACGTTGCTGTATAAATTTTCAAAAACTATTCTGTCAAAATCACAGCTGTGATCAAGCAAGCAGTGATCAGGCCGTGGAAACCTTTAAGAAAATTCTTTGAACGCACGCCCTTAAAGTACATGCTTAGTAGCGGATCCAGGAATATCCAAAGGGGTGACTATCGGGCGGGGGGGGGGTGGATGAGGCGTTGCAGTCAATGCATTTTTAAATATCAACTGCCTGAAGTAGTGAATCCAGATTTGCAGTATTGAGTGTTGACACTATTCTTAATTATCTATTAGCAAGGCGATATCTGGGCATTAGCAATACGAAACTATCATTTTGTAGACTGCCGACAACTTACCACCCAGATAGCGATTAACCTCATTGCTACAGCTTCCCTTTGGTCTCATAGCAGTACTGCATAACAGGAAGAGCATTTCGTAAGCGGCCTGATGGTGGAAGTGAACTGTCGTGGTTTAGGGAACATGAACAATTTAGGTTTTTTTTAACATTGACCATTTTTTTGGTGTGGGGGGGGGGGGGTAACTATGCTATGCTATTAATTAAGTGTATTCACTTTCTTTGTTGTCTCTCTGATACTCATTTTGTTTGTGTTATGGTTCAAACAATATACAACATGTATGCACATTCTCCATGGCTTATGATATTGAGTGGACGATGAACGGTGTTAACGTTGGTTTCTTTTGTTGTTGTTTTTCTGCTATGACAGGTTGAAGACGAAGACGTTAACTCCTCAGTCATCAGTGTTAGCAACACTGCCGGAATCTCACAAGACATTACGCTGTGGCTTGACTTTCTCAAATAGTATGTATAGGCGGTGACTGAGTGCTTTTGCATCCCTTGCAATCCAGTATCTGCCATCATAGAAAAGATACACATTAACAATTATGATGAACATCATCATCTCGCTGGGTACTAACATTAGGATGGTTTAGCACTAAAGACAATTGTAAATGTTGCGATAAGATACTAACTAAATTAATCCGTTTAAGAATTGGGTACTCCTGAAAACGTTATTGTCATTTTCTAATTAATACATTCGTTCCCTCAGCGGACATTCAAATTTCTTATTTTCATGAATCGATTGAATTATCTTTAGTTGACTGTATAACTCGTTGAAACGAAAAACAGTTGTCTGACTTTAATGGCGGCTGTACAAAGAAAAAGTGTTACCCCGCCAAAATGTAATACCCAACTTGGTGATTGATTAGAGAAGATACCGCCGGTTGATTAATCTGGCAGAGCAAGTACTTGTCGACCAAACGTAGTTTGTCGGGCTATGGACGCACGATATCTGGCAATTTTTAACGATCTCAAATGTGGTTGTTCACTCAGTCTATATGTCACACTGACCACGTAAACAGCTGGTGTTCATTTGTGGAAAGTTTGGACACGAATACATACACAGACAGCAGTGAATTGCTCTGTATTTCACAATATTATAGGGAGAAAAAGGCAACTTTTCATTATTTAACCCATCGCCACTCCAGCAATCTTTTTTACTCCGCTTTGGAGACATGCTTTCTGGTACTTCTCTGGCGTGTTTTCCCTTCACAAACACCCACTCCAACGCTATAGTATATCACAGCTTATAATCTGGAAGGGCAATGATTCTATCAAAATATGTTTGTTAACAAGGTTACATTTAAATAATTATATTTTGATTTTTTAATGCTTCAGTTTAATTGAAGGGTTTTTTTTAATTTACAATTGGTTATAAACTAAAAGGCAATTATTTGAATTCATCCCGAGAGTGACTAAATGGTATCAGGTGCGTGTTCATTTTCGCAACTTTGTTTTTGAAAACATGGCATATTTCCAGAGCCTTTTTCTTCCAAACAATTTAACAACTATTTCAAAATGCAATACAAAAAATAATATAAAATATTATTAGTGATAAATAGACAATGAAGGGCTCCTGGACCCCGAGGGAATATAGGTTGTATTAAACAGAAGAGTATTTCTGTTGAGGTGGAGTATATGCCACAAATCTAAACATGTATTTATATCCATTGTCTCCTCCAGATGACAGACTTTTCACAACTTTATATTGCGTTTACTTATTTTTATCAGTAGTCCATCCCGTGCATTTTAAAATGTTGACTGAAGCATTTCGCGGTTGGTTGGTGGAAAGAAACTAAATTGTTGATTATAGTTGTGACTGAAGATTTACTATGCAGGTCATGATGTTCAATCGTAACAATAATTTCTACGAAATTGATAAGAATCTCAGGAGTATCATCCTTTTAATACAAAGAAGAAACTGTTTTGTATTGAATAAAATCATGAGAGCTGTGCTTAAGCAAAAGTTGACGGAAAACTGATGATCTTTATGCACGAAAACTGCAAGGTTCCTATCACCATTTGTTTTCACCCCGATTTGTTGCATTAAGAGGTGAAGTAGAGCGTGCTAACTTCATTTATAGGTGGATATTCACTCATAAAACAAACGTTTCCTTTTTTTCCCTGTCCTTTGCTGTATTCATTCGTGTAACTTTCGTTACTTGCTAATATAGAGGACGGCATATTTTGGTAATAGCAGGCAACCATGTCAGATCAATCAGTCAAAGGGTGGAGAAGAAAATGCAGGTGGATGCCACCCTTAATTTTGACCCTAAATATACCTAATTTGCATAAATTGTTAATCCCTGCAGTGTAATACATTTATTCCCATATTTGGGTATATTCTTTATTTTTTTATTTTTTGAAAAGTTTATTTTGGTGATTCTAGTTACACCCCCTTACTTAAATGTTATTTTCTTAAGCATGTAAGTGACATAATAATCACGAGGACATAGTAACATCCAAAATGACTACTATTATACCCAAACTTGCGCGCATTTTACTTTGTCTCCAGATATCACCAAGTAGTCTTGCCAAACCTCAGTATTGATGAGCTTCAAATTCACCAAGTTGCTTACTGCCACAGTTGCCCTATTAAAACCTTATGGGAAAGCATGTGAACAATGATAACATTGTGATATTTGGCTCAGCAAACAAAAACGGGGGAAAACGAGCTTGCTGTTCGTAAACTGGGCTTAAATTAAAAGAAGGGTCGCCTAACATGGGATACTTGAATAAGTTCAAGGAAACACACCCCCCCCCCCAAAAAAAAAAAAAAAAAACATGTTTGTAATAATTATGTCAGGGTCAAAATGTTTTCTTTCCCGTTAATTTTCTTTCTAATCATTTAGAGAATTTCCTTGAACTTTTTTCAAGTCTCTCACATTAGGCAACCCTTCACTAATTAGGCCAATTAACAGACACCTCGTTTTGCCGTTTTTGTTTGCTGGGCTAAATGTCACAATGTTATCATTGTTCACATGATTTTCCGTAAGGTTTTAATAGGGTAACTGTGCCAGTAAGCAACTTGGTGAATTTGAAGCTCATATACTGATGTTTGGCAAGACTACTTGAAGATATCTGGAGACAAAGTAAAAGTCGCCCAACTTTTGGGTATACTAGGAGCCGTTTTGGATCGTTACTATATCCTAATAATAATTCAGTCGCTTATATGTGTTAGAAAATGTTATTGAAGTAAGGATGTGAAGTAGAATCACCAAAACAAAATTTTTAAAAATCAAAATATAAAGAAATGATCTAGCATGGATGCCAGCTATTACCAAAAAATGCCGTGAAATTATTCTCCAGGGTACTTTTCCACATTTGGCTGGCCTACTATAATGTGTCAGGGTTTGTCGGAAAGAGCACACATGCCGTTTATACCTAGCCTTTTGGAGTTTTTCAATACCGATTGTATACAACAATAACCACCCGCTGGCGTGTCAAATTTCAAAAGGGCCTCATGAAAACCGCTAATTGTGTACAATCTACAAAACAATTGTAGCCAATAAAAGCCAATTCAAAGACTTCCCCAACGAAATCGTTATCACCTCTTGTTTGAATAACTCTTATGAATAGATGGATGGCTTATCATACTCACTGCTTCCCTCCAAGAGCTATTCCTAGCAACCCATTGACTCGTGTGCATGCAGACAGATATACTTCAAATAGATGATAAACCATACTGTTGTATTTGTCTAGAGGCTGTTATTTTGATAGAACTTGTTGTAGTGCGTTTCGATGCGCAATTTCTTATCGCGCTGAAAACAAAACAATAATCTCGCGATTTGTTAAGGTTGGTAAAGAAAAGCATTTTATGAAAAATAAAATTCGATTTTATTATCTGACAAAAAGTGTGCAGTGTCGTGTGCCAGGAAAAAAAAGAACGTTCTGAGGTCTCCGACTGGCAAAGGAGAGCTGTGAGAAAACAGTTGAAATTACCGGCGCTTGAAAATCAGACGTTAATTAATAATATGTACATAAGCAAACTGTAAGGGTTTTTTTTATCTTGGCTTGGAATTTATTTGAGATAAAGTTTGCTATTGAAGCGAGTCCACAACGAGTTAAATTAATTACTTTAATCGTTCAGGTTCGTCCCGTGTTGTGCAAGATAAATTAATCTTGACAACATGACAGAAGTCGAACGATTCAAGAATTCAGATGGTTTTGTTTCTCCCGTATCTAGGGTTTTAAATTATGGGCAATTATGCTCGAAGAGGTAAGGAATGAGACCTAAGAAATCCCAAGAAAACGGCTTTTCTAAGGAAAATTCCGGATGTGATTAAAGTAGAGATTGGAGACCAAAGCTTTTGGTTGTGTCCAACTGGGGAAGCGTGTCAGTAGATGTAGAAGGCGAAGAATAAAACTGCTCCGGCTGCCTCTCTTTTCGGAAAACAAATCTTTGTCTAAATGCATGGTTAGTTCACCACCGAAATATTCCTATCAACAAGTCATTTAATACTGACGGAAAACGTGGATGGGACTAATTCATGAGTGGTTTTGGGATCTTTAGACAAGGAATTTTTTTCAGAGTTATTTTTTCTCAAAAAAATGTTAATTGTTTTGCTGGAAATCCAGTGTATAGGCATATATGACAACTTGCCATGAAAAGAATTTTTAATTTGCTGATCCTGATTGTTAATCAGTGAATTTTAAAGTCACCAACGGCTTGTCAGATTGGTGCTTTGTCCTTGTCGATATAATTTATTTTTAAAAATCGCCTTTTTTGTAGGTTTTCAGATATTTAGGCAAACTCTTCGTTGTAACCCTACGGTACACAACGAACACAAAACTGAACTGTAAAATGTTCATATTGAAATCGGCATTAATGGCTGATACCAAGTATACCGTGATGTCCAGTTAAAATTAAAATGAAATTAGTCGAGACATTTTAATTTTGACTGTATCTTCTACGAATTTCAGAATATTTACTGAAACCAATCCAAAGTTTTTAATATGTTTGTAGAAAGACCGTATAGAAAGGGGTTCAATCTTGCATCTCAATAAAACCACACTTTCATAAACACTATTTAATTAAAAAGACCTTACAGTGTGCACAATGAGCCTCGGGAGAAGCTTGGTGATCCTGGACCCCTGTGTATATTAGCAGAGCATAGATATATCAAGCGGAACTGGATCTTGCTGAATTTGGACTCTGATCATAGAAATATTGAATTTCTCTCCGCCTAGAGGCGGCAAACTCGGAACAAACAATGGATACGTTACCCAGGGGAATGACACGTTTCTCCCGTCCCTGGCCAGCGGACAAGCGCTGCTTCGTGCTTGCGGGAGGTGACAATTAGGAGTTTGCCACCATAAATCAAATATCATGTCCTCCTGCTTCTTTTCATTTTGAGAGGCCATCATCAAAACGATATTACGAAGAAGCAGAGAAGGATAACGGTATAGAGGAATGACCATCAAGAGATACAATCTACTAGGAGCAGATACTTGGGGTATTCACGAACTAAAGGACACGGGGGAGATCGTGTGGCAATCAGGCCAAATACCCAGCGGATGATGATGAGCTGTGAAGACTGCAGAAAGATTTTTGGACGTCAAAAATGTCATGAGCTACTGGAGTAGACAAGTTAATTCGCAAATGCGCTGAAGCAAGCATCGAATGCAAGAAACCCAAGCAGTACATAGGCAATGCTTGGGAGTACGAACATTTCTGTCGAATATTTCGAATTCTGTTGGCGTTTCGTCGTTTGAAGGATGAAACGCCTCTAGAATCAAAGTATATATAGAAAACACGTTGAAGAAATGGACAAAATTGCCTCGATGCTTGGTTAAGGTTCTGCGCGTGCGCTCATCAATTTCAATTTAATAGCGAACCTGTCTATGGAGTGAATGGCGAAAAAAAGCTAACATGATAACAAACGAAGGAAAGAAAATAAATATACAAATGACAAATGTTAAGACGATTTCAGAAGTGGATATTTTGTAAATTCTGTGACGACAGAGGACAAAAGAATTAAAATGAATGTAGGTCAAATAACAATGCCTTAAATTTCTATATGTGTTAGTAATTAAAACGAGGACTGACAAACCGTTTAGCCCACTGTCACCCGGTTTACCCTACTGCTGCATTAGGTTGTTTTATCTCAACATTCAGTATTCAGTTCAAATTTTTACTCGCTCAAAACTATATTTATTTCACCTGTGTCAAACATCCAATTTTGAATGCATAATACATTGTTTTTCTGCACACTTTGAATATTTACGTAAGTGTTTCGTCAACAATTAAAAAAAAACAGGCTCCAGGTTTTCAGTTTTAGAACAAAAGTTGCATGAGTTTGTGAACGGTTCATGCGACAGTGAGGCAGTAAATACGTGTATCTCCTGTTCATTAAGGTTGCAGTACATTGTTTTGGAGTACATACATTTCCAGCATTTGATATTTATTTACTTAAAGCACTAATGTAGTTCTCTCGCTCTCATGTAAGTAGGGTATGCCTACGGTACATTGGCTTCATCAGGCGGTATGCAGGATGTATGGACCGTCGTCAGGGATGATAAGCAGTCTTTATTGAGGCAGGAGAGTATGCCAACACGTGTTCGATATCCAAGCCGTGTGCAATATTTGGAGACTCATGCGAACCCAGCCACCAGGGGGCTGCCTCCTAATAATTACGACCTTTAACTAAGAAAGATTGGAGTTCTTGTCTGTATACTCTATCAGTTGATAAAAAAAGTTCATGTCACCTTCAGTAGATTGCTGTGTTGTTCATTGCCCAATGCGGGAAAAATAGAACAAGGCATAACAAAATTACGAAAAAGTGCAGTAACAAAAAGTGCAGTAACAAAAAGGCAAATTTGAAACGCCTCAATTACGTCTTCGTAAAATGATAAATTAATTTTAGATGTCGATCTAAATTTTAAGCTTAACCTAAGTCATTTTTGGTTTCCCGAATTCGTCATTCTTCTCAGGCAACAAGCATACTGAATTAGACCTTTCTTTTGTAACGTCACAGTCGTAACTTTGCGAGTGGTTGGTAAAGTATGGTTGGCCATCATTCCAAAACAAAAATTATAATTCACGAAGATTTTCAAATACCACACCATGGTTTTCAAACACCATAGCGTGTTTAATATACTGTACAACAAAAAGGACAT